TTTGATGGATTTTACGATGTAATTTTTGGGCATATAAATAGGACGCTTGACTTAAGATTTTGGGATCTTCTTTTCCCTTTGGTTTTCTTAGGCCCTTAGTTTCTCTAAACCCTCATTAATTAGCTTAGATCTTCTCAAACTCAATCATTATAGTAGATTAATTGAAGATTGTTCTCTTGAATTCAACAATTTCTTAACTTTGAAGCATTTTAAGTAATCTCTTTCCTCTATCCCTTACTCTTTAATTTCAGTTTTTATTTACTTTGAATTGTTAATTTCTCTCTTGATCTTGTTTAATTGTTGTTGCATGTCCAATCTACCTTATTCCTACTACTTCTCTCAACTTGTTTTATGATGTTCTTCACCATGTTTAGTGAGTGGTTAATTAGCTAGGGGTTGGGTGAAGACCCAACCAAGCCATGGGTTGATTGATGTTTAGTTTGTGCTTGCATGTTCATTTTGGGTTGATGATTGATTGTTAAAAAATGGGTTAATTGCATGTGTAATTGGATGGCCACCTATTTCTCATGTATTCACTCCTATGCTTGCATTGAGAGATGGAGTCTAGTTGTGTGCCTTTTCTTATATGATTATGCTAGATTCCTCTTGATTATGGTTCCTTGTTTGAATGATATAGTAGTCTTAGTTGCGAAAATTAGGTTAGAAATCCCAATTGTTTGTGCCTTAATGCTTTCTTGGACCGATTAAAAGGCAAACCCGAGTTAGTAGTCTACTTCCCGTTGTTAAGACTTGGTTGGGCTATCTTGTTAGTTGAGTTTGGTTTAGGAATGCTTAGTGTTGTGGCTTCGAAAAAAGGCAATGTTGAGTGCCCTCTCTATCACCCAATTTGTGTTCATGTTTGCCTATTGATTTGATCTGTTGGTTTGGTTGGTGTCGATTCCCATTTCCCCCAAGTGTTTGTATCCATAGTAGTTGTCTAATCAAAACCCCCAATTTGTGACCGAACTAGATTGCAACCGTTTCATACTCTTGGTGTCCTTACCCATTCCCTGTGGATACGATCCTCTACTTACCCTAGACTTGTCTTAGGTTGGTTTAGGTAGAAATATTGTTTGGTTTTAGGGTGATTGTCCAACGACCGATTATCCCTCTACCACCCGCCTTTTTTTTCTTTCTTTTTTTGATTTTTCTTTTGGTCAAACCTCAATAACAATAAGATATTATTTCCATATTTAAGGTACTATACAATAGAATATTATTTTTAGCTAATGACTATATATAATCATTCTATTTTTTTCTCCAACTTTATTACTTTTGCCAATAAAGTCTATTTCAATCAGAGCAGAAAATATTTTGCTAACAGATATAAATGTATATTCTTTACTTTTCTACTCTTCCTATTAATAATACCGCGTGTCAAAACTTTGTGCAAAAATAATTTCAACTAAGAAATTTACAGTACATTAATATGATATATGAACAATCTTAACTAATCATTTAATAAAATATAATTTGTGGTTAATACAATTTTTCCTTCCCTACTTCAACATAATAATGTTAATGATAACTTGTAAAAAATTAATTAAACAAAATTTATTATATTAATCCCATCGATTTTGAAGCGGTGGCTTTGTTAAAAAAAACGCCCACCTTTAAAAACCCTAACCCTAACTCTCTCCTCTCTACATGCTCTCTCCCCTCTCCTCCTTCTCTCTCCTGCTCTCTCTCTACTCTCTCGTCTCACCCCTCTCTCGTCGCCCTCCTCTTCTTTCCCCTCAAAGGTCACTACCACCACCTCCTCCACCAAGATCGACATCAGCAACAACATTCTCCGCTTATTTTCGCACTTTACCTCTCCTCGTGATGAAACCATAGGTTTTCAGGCCAAATTCGACCATGAAAACTCTATATCTAGAATTTTCATGGTCGAATTTGGCCTCGTAAACCCAATTTCAAGGTTTTGTGTGGTCGAATGAAGGTATGTGTATTTTTAATTTTTTTTTCATTTAATCTGTTTTTGTTAATTTTTGGGTTGTTATTTGCGGAGGCAGTGGTTTAAGGTGGTTGATGTGCTGGTTTAAGGTGGGTGGTGGGGTGGTTCGGTCGTTTTAGGTGGGTGATTGGGCGGTTTTTCGTGGTTGGTGGGTGGTTTTTGGTAGGTGATTAGGTGGTTTTTCGTGGGTGGTTGGATGATTTTTCATGGCTGCCTGGCTGGTGGGTGGTTTTAGGTGGTTAGGTCGTGGGTGCTGGGTTGTGGGTGGTTCGTGGGTTGTGGGTGTTTTTTTTTATATTTAAGTGTATCCTGATTTTTAAGTGAAAAAATGAAAAAAAAAAAAAAAATTTGCATAATTGTCACCGATTAACCGGTGCCAAAATTAAAGAATTTCCACCGATTACCCAATGCCAAATCAAAGAATTGCCACCAACTTTAAACCGGTGGGCATTTAATTTCATTTTTCCACTAGTAAATAAAACTCAAAACTAACTTTTTTATACTATAAAATCTGTCTAAATCTATCCAACTTTTTTTTTCCTATTCTATAATAAATATATTCAAATATCTTATGTGCCATAATACTAATATTTAATTGTCGCCAATACATATGGTGCGACACTTGGAGAAAAATTGAAATGCCAAGTGTTGATATCTCGTGACCTGGCTAAAAGTTTAGCTTTATATATTAGTTATATGATTGTCAAAGATTCTATTGATATCATATTATCGCACATTATATAAACTATTTCATAATCTATAAAATAATTTTTTTATATTTTACATATGAATATTTTAGTCTAGATTATATTACAGTTTAGTAGAGATATAGATGAATTATTGTAAAATATAATATATTACCTCCACTTTACTAAAAACGTCTATGTGCCACGTAAACCACGCCACGTCACCTACTCCATCTCTCATTATGCCACATCATCAATACTCAATCAACTAGAATATTGTTTCATCTAAAAAATTTGATGATAAGGGGATTCGAACACCAAATCTTTTATAAGAAAGATAATTATTAACCATCTAAGCCAATCATAAACTCTGTTATAAACATGAAAATAAATGTATATACTAGATAATCACACGGTCTAATTAAAGTAGCAACCGGTGCAACGCCCGGGCTACACACTAGTAAAATGTTTAAAAGATGTTTGAATAATATTTTTATACTTTATAAAAATTAAGTATAAAAAATAAGTTTTTATCCTACCTTCCTTTTTTTTTTTTGAAAAGCTTTATCCTACCTTCCTTATTTTTAAATTATTTGTTTTTTTCCTTATATGTAAGTAATGTAACTTTTTTTTAATAGCAAAAATATCTATAATATTATTAAAACTCAATGGGACACATGAGCACTATGTGTCATCATTCTTTAATCATTACTCTAAAACTCTTCATGTGTGTAACCTTTATACTTAATATTCCCATAGAATGTAACATCTAAATAATTACACTAATGGTTGTTCATTTCTTGGATGCTAATTTTCTAGATCCAATAAAAGGCACTCCGTTATAATTACATAAGTTATTATTTGATTATGTAATAAAGTAAAATGAATAAAAACTAACACTCATTAATCTTAAATTTATTATTAAATTTTTCTTCACTTATATATATTGTTGAACACTAACATTTAAAATTTAGTTTTGATCAAACTTACAAATTTATATTAATGAGCGGCATCACTCGGGTCAATAACTAGTTTCATTAATTAAAAGTCATACGACATCTACAATAAATATTCGACATTAATAAATACATAAGATATTGAGTCAAAAAAATTCCTTCATAAAATCTACGATTGTCGAATAGATCTTACACTGTGTAACATCTCCCGCTTATATCGCTGGAAAATATAGCCTCGTTGGAGAGACAATCTAACAATCCTTTGTAGCCATGAGGATGTTTTCCTTCTAATTCATCTGTCTGTATTCAAAAACTTGGTAACCTTTTCACCAACGAAATAATTTCATGACAATCCATAAGATCTATTTTTTTTTTTTTTGACAACAGCAGATTACAAAGGAAAAAACAGAAAATAAAAACTAGTTACAAGGTTGCGAGAAGGACATACAAAGTAACCTACATTGATTGGCCAGTTGATGAGCTTGTATAACCTCGTCTCGATTTGCCTTTAGGATACACAGTGATGGAACGAGGAGGCAATGCTACGGATTTCCTTTAGCGTCCAGTGATATTCCATATTACCTAGTTTCCCATTTGAAAGGGAGTTAATTAGGTTTGTGGAATCTGTGTAGATAGAGACCGAGTTCAGACCACTAGAAGAGCTCCATTTTAGAGCTGACAGGCAAGCAATGGCCTCTGCTTGAAATGCCGAACTAGTTAACCCAGAGTTACCTCCGACCCCTATTTCAGCTAGGCCAGGGGTTTGGGAGAAGTCCACCCTGTGCCGTAAGCTCCAGATTGCTTATGCTAGGACCCATCCGTTCTGACAACAGGCATTGTTTGGCTACTCCTATAAGATTAGTAGAGGAAGTCCTTGCCCATAGAGACTTGTAGGAAACCAGGTGGTGCTGGGGGATCTGGGTGGAGCAGCTTTAAGGTCCCAAGCTTGCGAACATCCGACTTCATGTAGTTCTTTAGAAGATCATGTGCCAGAGTGATGTTAGTGAAAAAGGCCCTAAGATAGCCATTGTCCCCTTCAAAGACCCTCTTGTTTCGAGTCATCCACAAAGACCAAAGAGTAGCCATAAATTTTTTGGTTCGGCCACTCTGAACCCCATCCTGACTATAAAACAGCAGGATATAGTTTTGAATCCATTCTTAGAGCGAAATAGACCCATTTGGTTTTTTACAGCTCAGAATTCCACAGTTTTCCCAGGCATATCGGGCTATAGAACAATCGAGAAAAAGATGCCTCGCATCTTCCAAATAATTACCACAATAACCACAGATCCCATTTGTATGCATCCCTCTAATCAGAAGGTTCCCATTTACAGGTAAGCTATTGGTAGTCAGCTTCCACAAAAAAATGCGCCATTTAGGAGGAATGTCAAGGTGCCAGATAATCTAGAAAAAATCAAAAGATTCGTTTCTATGCGAGGGCTCCGAGGTGTCAAGGAGACCTGCAAGAAAAGCATAGCCAGACTTGACCGTATACTTCCCCAAGGGGTGATGGTGCCAGTAAAGAAAGTCTTCTTCTTCCTTCTCAGGTAGGTCAACAGAGAGAATTTCTTGAGCACTTTTCCACTCAAAACGATCCCTAACCGTACTGACTTTCCAACTTCTAGAGGTCTGGTTGATAAGATCGGAAACAGTCCATTTAGAGCTCTGGAGCAGATTTTGATTGGACCGAACCACCGGGGTTTGCCCATGGACCCATTTAGAGCTACTGGCTAGGATATTTCTTCCCGAGCCAATCTTCCAGACAAAGCCTTTCATGACTTTGAGAGCAAGTTTGTGCATGTTTCGTCGAACCCACGAGAAACTGGAGGGAGTCTTAGTTTGAGACTTTCCCGAGCATAGCATAGATTCACTACTTGCATTATACATTTTAGAAGCAAGAAGTTGGGGGTTGGTATGCATTCTCTGCACTTTTTTGAACAGCAAGGCATCATTATAAACAGGAATCGAACAAATTCCCAGACCGCCCATACCTTTTGGAAGCTGGATAGTTTGTCTATTTACCCAGTGAATACCTTTGTCTCCATTTTTCGCCCACCAGAATCTTGTTATCAGAGAGTCTAACTTATTTGCAATAGACAGAGGGATCTTGAAAGATTTCAGCACATGCGAGGAGATTCCAATAAGGACAGAGTTAATAAGGATTAATTTAGCACCCTTGGAAAGCTTGCAATGAGCCCAGGAGATAATCTTCTTTTTTACTCGTTCAATCAGATAGGTAAAGTGCTGAGATTTAGCTCCTATAAGATCAATAGGAACCCCTAGATGATTCCCAATACTATCAGTTGTAGGGAACCTGAGAATGCTTTTGAAGGTTTCTGCCATCGAGGGGGAGACAGAAGGGCTAAATTTGATATAGGATTTACTGAGGTTAACCTGTTGTCCAGAGGCTTCTCCAAATCTAAATAGAATATCTGCTATAGTAGAGCAAGAGTCGGGGCTAACTTTGAAGAAAAACATAGCATCATCCGCAAAAAAGAGATGCGAGATTGAAGGTGCTCTTCTCGAGATTTTGATACCTTTTAGCAACTTGATATCTTCTGCTAGGGAGAGCATACGGGACAAAACATCCATGCAAAATAAGAATAGGTAAGGAGATAGCGGGTCGCCCTATCTTAAACCGCACTTGGGCTTAAAGGAATCCGACACTTGTCCATTAACTAAAGCCTGGAAGGAAACTGTAGAAATACACTGAGAGATCCATTGTATCCATTTTGCTGGAAATCCATAGGCCTGCAGAGTTTTAAGCAAGAAGAGCCAGTCAACTCTGTCGTAGACTTTAGACATACCCACCTTAATAGCAGCTAGTTGAGTGGACCGCTGTCTCGAGTTAATGAAGTGCATGAGTTCCTGTGACATAAAAATATTATCCTCCATGTACCTTCCAGGAATGAAGGCATGTTGGAAGTCCGAGATAAGAGAAGGAAGAACGAGCTTGAGTCTAGAAACAAGACACTTGGTAATACATTTGTAGATAGTGTTGCATAGGCTTATAGGTCGAAACTGCGAAGCCGTTTCTAGTACGTCCAGTTTTGGGATCATAACGAGGAGCGTTGAGTTTAGGTCATGTAAAAGAAAACCAGTGTTAAAGAAGTGTTGAACACTACTGACAACCGTGTCTCCAACTGTGTCCCAGAAATTATGAAAGAACTCCGCAATGATACCATCAGGCCCCGGAGATTTAGATCCCTTAATATCAAATAAAGCTCTTTTGATTTCATCTGCAGCAAAGGGTCGAACAAGAGCTTCATTTTCAGCAGCTGAAATAATAGGGAAATGAATTTGCCGGAGGAGAAGATTAATAAGTTCACTTTTTTGACTCATGACAGGGGGATCAAAGACTTCCTTTAAAGAGTTTACAATTAAATTCGAGACTCCCTCCTGTCCTTCTACCCAAGAGACATCATCAACCCGGAGCGTAAGAATTTCATTTCGAGATTTCCGTTGCTTCACTTTGTTGAACAGACGCTTTGTGGGGGCATCTCCATCTTTGATCCACTCACATTTAACCCTTTGTTTCCAATATTGAAATTCCACAGTGCACTTTGGAATACAAAAATTAATGCATTGAATATAAATATTACCATCATCAAGGCAAGTGATATCACATCCATAATCCGCAAGATTCGAAGAAAGCTTCCTCCAATTCACACCCCACAGTTGTTTGTTGTCTAAACACCATTTTTGAAGTTTACTTCTAATCATCCGCAGCTTCCTCATCAAACAAAAAGGAGGTAAGCCTTGGGTTGGAGAATTCCACCCATTGGCCACTATATCATGAACTTCCGGAAAACCAAGGCACCAAAGCTCAAGCTGATAGGGTCTAGTAGATCGAGTTTGAAGGGGGTTTGACTCATACACAATTGCGGCGTGGTCCGAAACTACTATCGGTTAATGGGAGATCCTACCATTGGGGTGATCATCAAACCAACTTGTAGAGACATACCCTCGATCTAAACGTTCCATGATTAAATCCTCTCCAAGTCTTTTATTGCTCCAAGTGAAACGGGGACCCGAGAAAGGAACTTCATATAAGGTATTTTCCAATCTCCAATCCATAAAAGCATCAATTCCTCTAATACTATTATTTCCACCCAATTTATCCTCTAAAAATTCTAATTGGTTGAAATCACCTAATAAAAGGCATTTAGGATAATTATGAACAATATAAGAAAGTTCAATCCAAACTAGGGATCTATCTTCAAGAGGAGGACCGTAAACAAAAGCTACATACTTAATTTCATTATGATAATCAACTATCTTACATAGGATAATGTTTTGAGAAGAAAAAAGACAAGTCACTATAGAGCTTGTCCAAGCAAAACCATAAGACCACCCTTCGCACCTATAACATCGCAACCAAAAGAGGTGGAGGGGGTAAAAACATCTAAGATAGGCCTAGCCACATCAACAACTAATTTAGTTTCGGAAAGGAATAAAAACATTGGTTTAAAATTAGAGACGAGCCACATAAGGTACCATCTTGTAGGGGCTTGTGGGTCATTAAGGCCCCTACAATTCCAAGCAACACACTTCATAAACCACTCGAGGGCTGAGACGATGCAGCCACCTCATCCAACATAATCAGATCCGAACACACAAGTTGTTGATTCGCCTCCCAATCCATACCCACAGCAGCGCTAGAGAGGTTATGAGAGAAATTGGGCTTTCTTGGCCTCAAGGCACTCGAGCCCGTTGGTTCAAGAGAGGGAGATCTTCTTCTTTTCTTAACACTCTCCAGAATATCAGCGTCCACTTGACCGCTCCAAATTCGAGCCATATCTTCATCAGTAATTGCCTTTGAGACCAAATCCTTCGAGCCATTAGAATTTGCTTTCCAGAAATTAAATCCCCCTTTATCCGATAACCTGTTAAGGGTTGCATAACGCCTCCTTTCACCCCAACTCAGATCAAAAAAGCTTTCACGAAAATCACAGCCACCATCAGAAACCGCAAGCCCACCTTCCCTGTTCTTGCCCTTTTTCATAGATTGAGCAGGAGGTATAGGCGAATTAAGTAATTCGTCAATATTAATTGGTGCTACAGGTGTTGCCGAAGAATTGGGAGGATCGAACTCTGTCAATGGGAGGTTCGGCAAATTCCCTCCAAAGGACGAGGGAGAATAAGGAAGAAAAGGTGGCACCGAAGCACGTTGATAGGGGTGAACCTTCGAGCCTGATAACCTCAAAGAACGAGCAAGAGCTCTTCCTGCTTGAATGAAACAGTTTGCCACATTTGTCACATCACTATCAGCTCAGAGATTGGGTGAGGAGTGTAAAACAAAGAGAGAAGTTGAAAGATTTTGCTCAGAGATTGCTGACAAGAGTGAAACCTTGTTCGTCTATTGGTTGCATGTAATCAGACATTTGAATGTTTGAATAGAAAGAAGAGCAGAAGATGAGTAGACACACGTATGCCAAGGAAGCAAAATGAAATAAACTCACGATTGTGAGAAACCTCTCGTTTAGAGAGAGATGCTCTCGTCTAGAGAGAGAAAGTTTCCCTTTTATCTTTGATGAACTAGTAAAAATATATAATATTTCTCATAAGATCTAATATCATGGATTCAAAACTAAGAAATTTTTCCCCCGAATAGAGAAGATAAATCTTTTCATTCGAAAAAGGTCGAAAAACCCTTGTCTTTCGAAGAAGATCGAAAACCCTTACTTTAAAGGGAGAAAAGTTTCTCCAAAAGGAGGAATCATTATTATAAACATAAAAAATAAATTAAATAGGGGCTTTCTAACAGTTAAAACCGATGAAAACCCCTTCAAAATTCAACAATAGAGGCTAGGGTTTTGGAGAAAAGAAGGAGAAGAGAGGAGAGTTTTAGTAGATCTCTTTCTTGTATGGAACTTGATACAACATATACGAATTGAATAAAGATTATCACTCATCTATCACTCAAGTATATTATCCCTAAAAATATATTTCTTAATATGTACTGAAGGTTCAATGGGCACTCAAGAGGGGGGGGGTGAATTGAGTGTTAAGTAATCGTTGGCTAATTTTGCTTCTTTTCGGATTATGTGTGAGGAACCAGTTGTGCTGGTTCCCGTACGCAGCGGAATATAAATAAGCAATAAAGAAGACAACAAATTTAACGAGGTTCAGCCAACTCAGGCCTACGTCCTCCTATCCTAAGTTCTTTATTAATCTACTCCGAAAAACAAAGACAAAGAACACTCTGCTGTTCCCTACTCCGGGAACCAGCAAACCCCACACTCTACTCCGAGTGTGCTCTCGACTTACACTCGTAAGCCCAATGTGTTTGAACTCACAAACACTCACCCAGCCTTTAACCCCTTTGTTAAAGACTCAATACAAGAATCAAAAACTCTCCTTTGATCACACTTCTACGAAGCTAATTAAGAGAAAAAGTTTAAGTACTAGAATGCTCTTGTATATGACTTGATGAATGGGATTAGTGCTTAAGTATATGCTCTCAAATAATTGCTCTTTTAATTTCTGGAGAGGCACACGAAATATGTGAAATAAGATGAGTTTATATAAGCTTAGATTCCTAAAACCTAGTTTCCTTAAATCACACAATCTTAGAGAATAAGATATAATGTAATTTTAGGAAAGTTTTTATCTTATTTGATTTAATCACAAAGATAGAATCAATTAAGATAAATACTCCTAGATTTTAGGTAACCAAGAATATTTCATCTTATTTCCAGCTGCACAAAATATTTTCAAGATAATCTTTTCGAAAAAATCTTTTTGTAAAATCTTTTTCCAAAACGGCAGCTCGAATACAGTGAACCTGGTTCCCCGACCTGGTTCCCTGAATTGAAACATGTTATGAAACCTGTTCCAACTTTGTACCAGATTTCATATCATACTTCAATATACTTTTAAGCACTTATATAACCCAAACATGCAAGCATACTACGGAGCATATTACATGAAAACCTAGATAACATATTAAAGCATAAATCGTCTTTTCTTCATGTAATCTTCAAGACTTGAATCTTCCTTGAATACTTCTATTATGAGCAAACAATCTTTCTTCGAAATATCTTCGAAAGGCTTCTATGCTCCAAGTCTTGGAATCAACTCAACTACTGCACATGTAACATGGTTAATGCACAATAAAGAGTATGTGACTGCTTTACCACGTAGCAACCATGGAAACAGTACATACTGGTTCCCTACCAGTACATAACACTTTTATCATATAACTATTCCCTGTATAAAGACAAGTTAGTTCAATAAGAAAACTCATGTAAGTAATAACTTGTCTGGGGAAACAGTGTTCTATGTTAGCTGGTTCCCCTAACTGTATCGAACACTTTCAAGGACCTGTTTCCCTTAGCTGTTTGTCATCATTCAAAACTATCAATCAAAACCTAAGGGACTCAACAAATTCCCCCTTTTTGATGATGACAAACTTTTGAAGTTCCTGAACCTGTGAACATGCTCAAAAGGAAAACCGTCAAAAACTTCAAGGACTCAAGACTCTTTGGAACAAGTCAGTTAGGCCAACTGGTTCCCTAAACAGAAAATAGAAAATACGAAATAAAAAGACTCAAACTGACTCAATCTAAACTAGCTAAACCTTAGGCTTC